AATATATGTATAGCTATATGTGCATGTGTGTGTGTTTCTGTTTGCGCACAGCTTTCCCTGTCAAACGAATAAAAAAATCTAAATATCAGGTTGGGTCGGGAAATGTTGAGACTGTCGAGTTCCGACGCCCCTCCGTGCAGGCGCAGCACAGCAGTGTAGCACACATTGATCGGCACATGCGCATCAGGCAGAGAGCCGCAGAAGTGAAGCTCTCCCTCCCTTTCCAGTTTGTGTTTGTCTTGGTGTGGAGGTGAGTGGTGATGAACAAAAGACTAAAAGTTTACAGCTAATTACCCAAAAGACAATTATAGTTAATTTGCCTTGCTAACATCCATGACTCATGAGAGCTACATGATTCAGTTCACTGCATGATTCAGTTTATTAAAATGCATTTAGAATGATCACAAAATTCAAGATATGGGGGCAGAAACGTATCATTTATATCATTTCATATAGTTAATCAGTATCGCGCGAAGACTGATGTTTTTTCCACCAAAAAGCAGCATGATTACAAATGTGATATTGATTTTTTACAGCAGTTCAATAAACAAGTTTTTAATATTAAGATACTTACATTTTAGACACAATATTGACTGTTTTTGCTCTATTTCGCCAACAAATATAATTCCAGTTTGCATCTCTGAGCAACATGAAGGTGTTTCGTTCCTGAATTAATCAACTGTTTAAATGATTCGGTTCAGTCACAATGCCTCACTTATTAACAGTGACTTGCTGCCGCCTACTGGCGGTATCTATTCTTTTTTTTGTTGTTTTTTTTAATCATTTCAAATATCAGTATTCAACGTTTTATGTTTAAAATATCAAAACAGTATGAATGCATTTGTAACTGCAGGTTAAATACATTCATGTCCTGCATTAAACAGTGTGTAAATGCATCTAAATGCCCCTTAATCAGTATCACCCGAAGACTGACGTTTTTTCCACCAAAAAGCAGCATGATTACAAATGTGATATTGATTTTATGCAACAGTTCAATAAACAATCAATTAATATTAATATACTTACGTTTTAGACACAATATTGACTGTTTTTGCTCTATTTCGCCAACAAATATAATTCCAGTTTGCATCTCTGAGCAACATGAAGGTGTTTCGTTCCTGAATGAATCAACTGTTTAAATGATTCGGTTCAGTCACAATGACTCACTTATTAACAGTGACTTGCTGCCGCCTACTGGCGGTATCTATTCTTTTTTTTTTTCTTTTTTTTTATAATTTCAAATATCAGTATTCAACGTTTTATGTTTAAAATATCAAAACAGTATGAATGCATTTGTAACTGCAGGTTAAATACATTCATGTCCTGCATTAAACATTGTGTAAATGCATCTAAATGCCACTTCTAATGCAGCTTCTGTGTTTTCTCTGCATTGCAAAGATGGATTTTGTCAATACTGATTTCATTTAAAAGGTAAAAATCTATTTAAACTTATTGGAAAATATTAATTCACTGCTGTGAACTGATCGCCACACAGAATATGAAGAATATCAAACATTTTAGGAGTCAGCTGTCCACGGCAGTCCTTAAGATATCAGCACAATAACACACTCAGCAAAATATCATCTAATTATCGTTATCAATAAAATCCCAGAAAATATTGAGATATATTTTTGTCAATATCGTACACCCCTAATATATTTAACGTTTTGATTAGGAAAAAAAGTGCCCTTTTTTCCACTTGAGCCCCTGCCCCTCAAAATGTCTGTGCAAAGTCAACCATCACTGCAGCCCTCCACCAGTCGGGGCTTTATGGCAGAGTGGCCCGACGGAAGCCTCTCCTCAGTGCAAGACACATGAAAGCCTGCATGGAGTTTGCTAAAAAACACCTGAATAAGATTCTCTGGTCTGATGAGACCCAGATAGAACTTTTTGGCCTTAATTCTAAGCGGTATGTGTGGAGAAAACCAGGCACTGCTCATCACCTGTCCCAACAGTGAAGCATGGTGGTGGCAGCATCATGCTGTGGGGGTGTTTTTCAGCTGCAGGGACAGGACGACTGGTTGGAATTGAGGGAAAGATGAATGCGGCCAAGTACAGGGATATCCTGGACGAAAACTTTCTCCAGAGTGCTCAGGACCTCAGACTGGGCCGAAGGTTTATCTTCCAACAAGACAATGACCCTAAGCACACAGCTAAAATAACGAAGGAGTGGCTTCACAACAACTCTGTGACTGTTCTTGAATGGCCCAGCCAGAGCCCTGACTTAAACCCAATTGAGCATCTCTGGAGAGACCTAAAAATTGCTGTCCACCAACGTTTACCATCCAACCTGCCAGAACTGGAGAGGCTCTGCAAGGAGGAATGGCAGAGGATCCCTAAATCCAGGTGTGAAAAACTTGTTGCCTCTTTCCCAAAAAGACTCATGGCTGTATTAGATCAAAAGGGTGCTTCTACTAAATACTGAGCAAAGGGTCTGAATACTTAGGACCATGTGATATTTCAGTTTTTCTTTTTTAATAAATCTGCAAAAATGTCAACAATTCTGTGTTTTTCTGTCAATATGGGGTGCTGTGTGTACATTAATGAGGAAAAAAAATGAACTTAAATGATTTTAGCAAATGGCTGCAATATAACAAAGAGTGAAAAATTTAAGGGGGTCTGAATACTTTCCGTACCCACTGTAAATGCCCCTTCTAATGCAGCTTCTGTGTTTTCTCTGCATTGCAAAGATGGATTTTGTCAATACTGATTTCATTTAAAAGGTAAAAATCTATTTAAACTTATTGGAAAAGATTAATTTCTATCACTGCTGTGAACTGATCACCACACAGAATACGGCTGTCCTTAAGATATCAGCACAATAACACACTCAGCAAAATATCATCTAATTATCGTTACCAATGAAATATTACCCAGATAATATTGAGATATATTTTTTTTCAATATCGCACACCCCTAATAAATTCAATGTTTTGATTAAAAAATAAATAAATAAATATGAGAAGAGCCCTTTTTTCCACTTGAGCCCCTGCCCCTCAAAATGTCTGTGCACGTCCCTGTGCAAACTATATTCTAACAGATTGAAAATGATTCGTCAAGGGTACATACCTCACTGAGCTGCTCCTGGGCCTTCTTTATGCGAATCATCTCAGGTGTGTCAGCCGAAATGGCATAGGGCTGCCCCTTTGATTTTTCATATTCCTCCCTGTATTTATTCTGCAAAAAACATACAAATTCAGTTTGCATTATAGACTAGGCAAGATAAGACAGGTAAGATTTTTAGATCACTTTAGATAAATGTAATGCATTCTAGCTAAATAAAAGTATTAATTTCTTTAAAAACTTACTGGATCCAAACTTCTGAATGATTGTGTGAATCTAGTAAACCCCAACAGACTCTAATTCTACCTAATATCTGTTTTTATTCCAATGGTTCTCAAACTGTGGCCTGTAGACATGGTGTGGTAACATGCATTTTGAATGTAATTTACAACACGGCTCGTCTCATTTGTCTCTCTGCGAGTCTGCCGTAGATGTCCATTTCTATATTTGTATCTCTGGAAAGAACAACTCAGCCAAAGCTGAAGGCTGCTTTTCCATTAATGGGGAGAAAAGCATATAAAAAATTTAAAAAACTTTGCCTAAATTTGAGATCTATTTTTATTAGTGCTACATTATTTCTATAAAACACTATAACCCGTAAAAAAAAAAAAAAAAAAAAACACTTCTAAAAAAAGAAATAGATACTATTTCCCAACAACTGTATTTGAATAATCAGCAAAATACTAAAGTACAAAATGTGAATCTCTGCTTTCCACAGATCCATTGAAAGAAGCCATCTTAATTAACGCTGATGTCTTTCAGGTCCTATTCTAAGTGTAGATGAAAGTAGCAGTGAAATCAGATCGTATATATTCCAAAATATTCTGTTGAGATTCCCATCTTCTCAAAATGCAAGATGGCGAATTTCCATTTCATGGATATGTTAAAGGGGAATCCAAAAATTTTTTTTTTCGAAAAGTTCTTTAATAAATAACACCTAATTAATGAGAAGTCAGGTTAATGCAATATTTGGTAAACCCCTATAAGATATCTACAACAGAAATGGACATGAAAGTATACAAGGTCTACTTTAACTGTATTTCTCTTGGAAATACTGAATTAATTAAAGTATCAACCTTCTGCTTTCACTCTTCCATTGAACACTCAGACAGACACATTTACAATTCATACAGACAGTATTTCAATGAATAACATGACAAAAACAAAACAGCTGGAAGCTTCAAGAGGAACTGTGGTTAAATCTTGTCGTATTTCTTCAAAATACCACAAAACGATATGCAAAATTAAAAGTAATTGCGATTAAATTGTCTACATTTGCTTTTTCAGATCATAATGAAGCTTGCAGTCAATTTAGTTGCTCTGAACAGAACATAATCCCACTGTTAGTATAAAAGTTGAGAGTATTATATCTAACAATGGTTATTTCCATTCAGGCTTGCTTGGTGTAATCAGGAAAACATTACATTAGCATATTCAGAAATAAGATCTTATTATCAGATTATAACAAACTGCTGCAGGGGTCATTACATAACTGTCACGTGAATGATGGTTTGCCATGTAATTGATATCTTGTTAATGTAAGAAATGAATGATAAATTAATAGAAATCTATTGAAGAGACTGCATTGATACATTGATTACTGGGAATAAAACATGCATTGAATTGAATTTATTGCACTAGAGCCTCCAAGGAAGAGGTCATTTGAAATGGGATCCAATGCTAATCATATACGACATGGCAGCTCCTACTGAACTGCTGACGGTGGAGGTATCATAGATCGCTATTCATAGGGTTTGCCACTATACCTATAGGACTGAGAACGATGGGGCATAAAGTTAAAAAGCCTATATAATCTACTCAAGGGGTTAAGCAAATTAATTCAGAGCAGCATTATTGTTATTCTTTCATTGAAATAGGGGACGACATCTAAACAGATGATAAAATATGGACTGCAAGGCATCAAACCTGTGTCTTACCTCCTCCGCAATCTCTTCTTCATACTCTTCTTCTGATGCCATCTTCAAACTGATTTAGTGAGTCTACACAAGCAAATAAAAAATTTGTTGCAGACAGTGAGAAATAAACAGCTGTTTTGGAATACTTTTTAATGCAAATAAAGCATAGGAAGTTAAATTGACCCTTACTATAGGATTTCAATTTCACCAGGACTTGAAGGAACGTTAATATAAGCTCATAACGTTCACAATGCACCAGGAATGATCTGTCCATTTTAATGATAATCTTAAAGAACCAAACTAAAATGTGTAGAAGCTGACGTACCTTTACTATAGAAGGTTACAGTAGAATTTCAGCAACCCTACAGTAAAGAAAGGTGTTCGCTTTCCATCCACTCGTGTCCCAATCTGCTATTCCACTTTATGTATTCCTGCAAACCTAAACAAAGACAAAAATGTGTCAGTTTTCCTCTGACTGAGCTGATGCTTTAGTGTGGGTAGATCAAAATTCTAATTTTGTGCTGAAATCTTTCTGCAGGCCTTGGTAAGTGAGAGAGTTTGACACCTAAGACCCCCCCAAAACGCTGCGCCTTCTGGCTGAAGCCTTGCAACAGCTGCTCTGAATCGCTCCAGCTATTTGTCATGTAAGCCAATGCTGTGGGCTGATTGGCTGGCTTTGTTTAGCTAGTGGAGCTCCAATGCCTTCTGAGGCTAGAGGTTAAATTTAGGACTGCCCACTAACTACCCTTTTTTAGGACCCGACTCCTAGAAAATGACATCAAATGATGGTTTTCTATGCATTTTCATCAGAATGATTGAGAGGAATGTCCATGAGGTGAGGTGCTTCAGATAGTCTTCCAGGAAAAACCAAGTCCAGGAATAAGTTCCAGCTTTGAGTAATTGGTAAATTGCTTGTTCCTGCAATGATGGCCAATAAAGTCAGAAGATTCTTATCAGGCTGTGGATTAAGGACCAGCATCGCCCTGAGCATCACTTCCATCTACCAACAGGCTGTAGAAGATGGTCAGTTCAACTGAGCAGGCCATGCAAAGAGTGCTGGAGAGTGAAATCTGGTGTGAGGTTTGATTTCGTGGTTTTTCCTTTGCTTACCGGTGACTTTAAAGTTAAAACGTTTCCCAAGCTGCCAGAGCCTCCCCAACTCTTCCCTCCTGAGAAATGCTGGGCAACAGCTCACAGCTGCAACGGCACTCCGGTTATCATGTGCTCCTATCCACCAATCAGTGGACAGTATTCTCAGGTTTCAATAGCTAAATATACTTTAGCGACCCTTCAGAAAAGTGCACCTGTTCAGCAAATCATCAGTAATACAACTATGAGGAAGAGAAAGGAAAACACTGTAAAATACCTGGTTTCTTTGAACGAGGGAATGCAGGGTTGTTGCATTCACCAAGATGGAGTTCTCTGGAGGTATGTATCAGGAGTAATAGAGATCCTGGGGCAAAATGAGGTTTTCTCTGTGAAGATGGCCAGAGCAACTTCTTGAGGTCACTGGTTTGCATCCAAGTGTACATGGAGCCCAGAGGCCCCAGATAGAATGCGGATGTGGGCCACATAAGGCAATGATACGGGGCTGGTGGCCTTCTTATGGCCCGTACAAAATGGATGTAAGCCTGAAGTGGCCCACTTGTAAAATAGCAAAAATGCCCCAAATTTATCAAATTACATGTGGGCCTCTGTAGGCAAAGATGTGGTGTTCACGGCAATGTGTAATCTGAATGTGACCCCTATGGTGGCCCATGTGCTAAATAGTGAATATGGCCCAAATAGTGTCAACCAAATGTGATCCACCTTTGGCAAAAATGTGGCACAATCGACAAAGGCTAATCAGGGTGTAAACCAAATGTGGTTAACATATAAATATATCTGGGTCAGTTTTGGCAAAGATATGGCAAAGTGAACACTGGCTAATATGGCTGTGAGCCTAAAGTGGCCTGCACATGATGCCACAAATGTGACAGTTATCCTAAATCATATCTGGGCCAGTTTTGGCAAATATATGGCACAGTTAGCGCTGGCTAATGTGGCTGTGAGCCTAAAGTGGCCCACGTATTATGCCACAAATGTGGCACAGTTATCGTAAAACCGTATCTGGGCCTGTTTTGGCAAAGATATGGCATAGTAAGCACTGCCTAATGTGGCTGTGAGCTTAAAGTGGCCATTATACTGTAGCGAATTTAGCTCAACGACAGGAAATATGAATAATTAACCATAACTAGTTATAATTAACTATTCATATTTTAGATCCGCTGTAGATATTTAGCTGACCTCTCAGGGTCAACTGTCTTGTCAATTCTAAGAACGTTAATGTCCTGGTTAAGGGAAATAACTTTCTTACTGTACAATTCTATAAGCTTGTAACGTAAATCTGCATGATTAGTGACTCCGGTTATGAGCAAACAATGAACACATCAAGTGTGATACAAGTAAGGTTTTATTAACTACATAAACACTTAAACTAGTCCAACATACTACATAAACACATAAACTGGTCTAACATACACATACACACACACACACACACACATACAGTTGGTATAGGAAAGGGTTAAAGTTTAACACTAAAGAAAGAGACATAAGGAATGACATTTATATGCCACAAATGTTGCCCAGGTATATTAAAACATATCTGGGCCAGTTTTGGCAAAGATATGGCTCAGTGAGAATTGGCTAATGTGGCTGTAAGCCTATGTGGCCCTTATATGATGCCGCAAATGTGGTCTGGTTATCCTCAAACATATTTGGGCCAGTTGTGGCAAATACATGGCACAGTGAGCACTGGCTAATGTGGCTGTAAGCCTAAAGTGGCCCACATATGATGCCACAAATGTGGCACAGTTATCCTAAACCGTATCTGGGCCAGTTTTGGCAAAGATATGGCACAGTGAGCACTGGCTAATGTGGCTGTGAGCCTAAAGTGGCCCTTATATGATGCCACAAATGTGGCCCGCATATAAAATTACAAATATTGCCCAAATAATTAATAACAATTTGCCCCATATACAGTATTATAAAACAGATGAGGAACACTTCTGGTTGTAACACTTGAAAAGTGAGGCCACTTCTTGGATGTAACACTTGACACTGGCTAATTGAAATGGAAGCTTGAAATTGTAAATATGGCCTAATAGAATTTTGCTACTTTTAGTAGGATGCAACACAGTTAACTGATGCAGGGTGATCTGGATGCGAGTCTTAAGCAGGCTACATACGCAGCAATTCATTTTTTGAAACATGCTTTTAATGGCAGTTTTTTTTATATGTGTACTGTGCAGCATAAAAACAGAAGTGGAAAATAACTGCATTCGTGTGGACAGGGCCTAAGAGTACAATCATTATAGTGTATAATGATTGTACTCTTAGGCCCTGTCCACACGAACGCAGTTATTTTTAAAACCGCAGCTTTTTCTACGCGGTTTGGTCGTTCATCCACACGCAAACGCAGCACCAGGTCACTGAAACCAAACATTTTTGAAAACGCCTGCCAGAGTGTAGATTTTCTAAAACTCCAGTTGCAGTGTTATCGTGTAGACAGCGAAACTGGAGTTTTTGGCTTGTGAGGTCAGAACCTGCGCTGTTATCTCCGCCTACTGGAAACTTTTTCAGGCTTCTGATTGGCCAACATGGCTTTACGGTTGAGATTATATCACCACCTGTTGGTTTGGCATGCTCTTGACAGTGCTTCATAGCATGCGTTTGCGTTTTCATGTGGACGGAGATTTTTTTAAAGACAGAAGAAGGAAAAACCTTGTTTATAAAAATACCTGTGTACGTGCGGACGGCCTTACTGTCATGGTTTCTGTTCATTTGGACTTTGTTTTCCTTTTGCACCGTTTCCCTTGTTGTGTTGATTGTATTATTCTGTTCAGGTGTGCCTAGTTAATTATCCTTGTTTGGTCTGAGTACTTAAGTTCCTGTATGTTCACTTTGAGTTTGTATGGTCTAACATCTACATGTTGTTGTGCTACATTGTGTTTGGATTTACCCTTGTTGGATTAAAGATGATATATAACCTTTCATCTTCGTCGTGTGCGCTTTAACACAGCCTAGCTATGACGCTCACAGATTTACTCTGTAGGGAGTCTGAGTGAGAAGCATTTAAGTTCAAACTTGTGAAGAACAGTTTTTAAAGTATTGGAATGTGTCTTTGAATATTTATCTGTGACATTTTAATTGCTGCTTGTGCAAAACTTGGGTTGGGATGATTTTATCAAGTAGGACACATTTCTGCAACTTATTTGAACATTTATGGAGGACATTTTAAAATTTCTCTTTACAATGTTGAGTATTATTGATGCATAACTCACTTAGGGCTTAGTGTGGCCCAGATAATGTATATTTATGGTTTATTTGGTTCATTATTAGCTAAAATGTGGCTGTGTAGTGGCCTACTTGTGGACCACTGCTAAAATGCTACCATTCCATGCAGCATGTGGGCCACATGAGGAATGTGGGGAAGACCAGGGTTAGAATAAAAATCAACTGTGGCCCACATTAGGGCCAGTTTTGGTTTATTTGGTTGGCTTACATGCAGCAATGCTAAGCTTACTTGAGGCCCAAATCTGGCAAACAGAATGGACTGCCCAAATGCCATTATTCCACGCAGTATGTGGGCCGGAGAAAGGTATTGGATTTGGGCCGGATCTGGGCCAGAATTAAAATAAATGTGGCCTAGATTTGGGTCAGTTCTGGTTTATTTGATTTTTTTTTCATGGCTGACATGCAGCCTACCTATGGCTTTCTTGTGGCCCAAATTTAACAAACAGGATCGGACCGCCCAAGTTCTTCACAGTATGTGGACCGGAGTAAGGTGTTGGATCTGGGCCAGAATTAAATGGCCCAGATTTGGGCCAGTTCTGCTTTATTTGGTTTATTCATGGCTGACATTGGGCCTTCTTTTGGCTTGCTCGTGGCCCAAATCTGGCAAACAGGAGCGGACCGCCCAAGTGTGGGCCAAATGAAAGTGTTAGGTGTGGGCCTGATCTGGGCCTCAGGAATTTTACTCTCTGGGGGTGAAATCAGGTCAAGGCTGGGGGCAAGAGGGAAATAAACTGTTGACTTGTTAACCCAATTACAAACATCTAGAGTGACTGACAATAAGAATGATCTGATTCTAAGTCAATATTATATATAGAGGCACTATACTCAATGCATGTGCACATTCCATCATACATGCATTACATAGCTCAGCACAATATAAATCTTCACATATTCCCTTTATATTTTCTTCTGGATTTGCCTAAATGTTCTTTGACTGTATTTTTGACCAGACATGTCTTTAATACATTCTATTTGGTAAAGCATTCTCATACAATTTCTGGCAGTTGACTTGTTTTGTTTTTGTTAATACCAGAGTGGGAATTATAGGGGGTCTGACCACCCTATTTAAGGGTTTAAGTCTGGTAAAAGTATTTCATTTTTATTCTTTAAGTAAATATACGTTTCAATATGGGGTTTAAACATTTCAGTAAGGTTTAAAGTTTGATTACAAATTAGTTAGAGCACAAGCCCCAAATATTACTCCAAAATCCTTGTCTGATGACAGACCATATAATCGTTTTCCTTGACAATATTTCAATAATTATGTCATGTGTATTTTTATTAACTGTTCGGAATGCCAGATTCGCGAATGAATCACTCTTTTGACTGAGGTCTGAATTAGTTCACGAATCAGTTTGACTCACGTACTGAATAGTTTGCAGCGGATTTTTACATGGTTAGGGAAAACTTATTAAACAGAAAACAAAAAGAGCTGGGTAAGGTGAATATTTCCAAACAATCCATTGCAGGAAACAAAAATGGCAAAAGTCACTTATCGTTTGTCAGCGATGGTACACCTCTTCGTTGCGCATGCAGTTTCTGACTGCTGCAGGGGAAGACAAGCAATTTGATGGTATATATCCATAATAGTATGAAAATATGGGGAGACATTTTGAAAGACTGATGAAAGGCTACAAACGCCCCTAGTAAGAAAACGAATGTAAATTACAGAAAATATGCGCCAACAGTGAACCCAAATTGGTAACCATAGCAACAGTCATCTGCTCTCTCGCAATTTCCATTAGGATCAGTTTTAGAGAATATGATAAAGCAACATAAATACTCTGTTATATACACAAGTACTTTTTGCTGCTCCTGAAAATTAAAGGTCGTAACCCCCTTGA